TGTTTGTCTGTATCTGCATGTTACAAGGCCAGGGGAAACCAGCGGAACCAGCATTTGGCTGGTTGGGCAAAGACAAAACAGGTTCTGTTCTTAGAACCTGAACCTGGTTGTTGTTTTCCCAGGTTGGAAAACAGAACCAGAGGTTGTTTACCAACCTACCACCTGCTATTTTGTCCAGCCAGGTTGGTTCTGTTGCTTGGAATTATTTGGGATCATCCCTGGTTGTTCCCAGGTTGATTCCCGAGGTCCTTGCTAGCTAGAACTATTTAATCCTTCTCTGTTTGTACCTGAATATAGTCAATTGATTCAAGCGAATTCCTTCCTCGCTGGAGTTTGGTTTCTGCGCTATTCGATGGCGGAATGCTACCCGAGTCAACGCTAGTATGCTAGCACTCCAACGCTAGGCAAACGCTGTCCGAGCCAGAACTTCGTAATGGCAGAACTTTTCGCGAGGCAACTTGGCTTATTTTAAAGCTCTTGGAGCGAGCTTCGATATAGCAAATTCTCAGCTTAATCCGATTGACGGTCTGCACGGCACGCTGCGCGACGTTCAAGGTACTCTTGCTGTTTTGACTAAGTCCTTCTTGATCCCTCTCTCTACAAACTCGGACCCAAGGATAGGGGCTGGTCTTGTACCAGGCACCCAAGGACCCTTGGAGGTGACCCCGAGGAGAGGTTTTAAGTTTGATTAAGTCCTAATAGCTTGAGTTTATTAGGCCCTTACACCAACAGAAATATCCATCTGAATGATGAATTTCCCACTAACGGCTGCATCTGCCAACAAGACACGGAGGGTAGGGGGTTTGGCAGTGGGAGCAAAGATCTCGTTGAAGTCCTGCTTCTCCTTCTGCATAAACCCCTTAGCCACCAGCCTACTCTTGTAGATGGTGACCTGCCCCTTGTCATCGGTCTTGATCCTCAGCACCCACTTGCATTGTATCGCTTTCTTCCCATCAGGCAGCACCACCAGATCCCATGTCCCATTCTCCAGCAGGCTCTGGTACTCAGCATCCCTAGAAGCCAGCCACTTGTCCCTATCTGGTCCAGCTAATGCCTCCTCCATGCTAGCTGGTTCCTCTGGTGCAGGGGCAAGAAAACAGTACGCAGGCTCATCCTCCTCATCCGGGTCATAGCCATGAGGTAGAATCAGCAATGCCTCTTCGGTCCCTAGCTGCTGCTCTGCTGCATCAGTTTCTGCAGTCAGCTTCTTAGTAGCCATACGGGTACGTCCTGGCCTGGAGACGGATGTCCCCTTTGGCTTCTTAGTTTTCCCCTGCTGCTGCTCTCCTCCCTTGGATCCAGCAGCTTCACTAGTGCTGCCGCCACTTTCCACACCTTTTTCTCCACCAGCAGGTGCCTCCTGTACCTTCTCTCCATCACCATTTCCCGCAGCTGCCTTCTCTCCCTCCTCCCACACACTAGGAGTCAGGTCCAGCTGCATGGTGATCTGCTCCATCTGCTGGGACACCCGGGCCTCCGGCTGTTTCTCCCAGCTCCCATACATCATGCCCTCAATGAATTTCACATCCCTGCTGTCAAACAACACACCCTTGGATGGTTCCCACAGCAGCCATCCCTTGCTCTCAGCAGCCAGCCCCAAATGCACACACCAGATTGCACTCGCCCCCAACTTACTGCGGTAGGTCTTGGGGACGTGGGCGACTGCCATGCAACCGAACACCCTCAGCATGTCCACCGGCGGCTTCCTCCCAAGCCACCTCTCCAACGGCACCCACGAGTCATCCCCAACCTTGGTGAGCACCCTGTTCCTAGCGACGGTGGCGTGCCGGACAGCATGAGGCCACATAGAATTGCTCAGCCCAGATTCTATGAGCAGCGCCCTAGCTGTTTCGAGAATGGTCCGGTTTGCCCGTTCTGCTACACCATTGGACTGTGGGGTGTAAGCCGTGGTCAGCTCCCTCTGGATGCCCTGCTTCTTGAGCCAGGCCGTTATTTCAGCTCCAAGGAACTCACCACCCCGGTCTGTCCTAATCCGCTTCACTACACACTCCGCCTGCTTCTCCACGAACGGCAGCCAATCGTCCCGTATCATGGAGGCGGCGTGGTCCTTCTGCTTCAGCGGATACGCCCACATCAGCCTGCTCCAGTCATCCACAATTGTAAGAAAATACCGCTCCCCCTTGTGCCCTTGCACCGGCAGCGGCCCCACCAAGTCCATGTGGACCAGCTCCAAAGGCTTTTTGCTCCTGCCAGCCACACTATGGAAAGGGAAACGGGTGAACTTTGAAAGCAAACAGATTTTACAGTTGTCATCGGGTGGCTGTCCATTCAGCTTCAAACCCTTGACGGCTCCATCCTTCTCCAGCTGCTTCAATAAGGGCATTGCCACATGCCCCAAGCGTCGGTGTGCCGTTGCCCAATCCGTCTCCCCAGATCTGGCCGACACTTTCACGCCAACCCCTCCAACGGCGTTGCACTCCCCCTGGGATGCAGACCCCTCTCTAGCCTGCCCCCCACCGTGCCACGCCAACGCCGGCAGCTGCCACATGGATCTGTACACGTCCTTGCTCTCGTGCAGATCCCAAAGCACCCGATTGCCCAGCTGCCCCTTGTATGTGCGAGCCCCATCCGTGCTAGTGCTCACCCCAGCCTTGGCAAGCTTACGGAGGGAGATGAGGTTGGCCTTGAGGTCGGGAACGAGGAAAACGTCGTGCAGCACCACCGGCTTGCCATCCGCTCCCTTAAACGCAGCTCGTCCCGCACCAGCCACCTTCAGCGAGTGTCCAGAGGCGGAGCACACTTCGTTAATCGGTGCAGCGCGTACGTCATCCAGCAGGTCTTTGCGCGGCGTCATCGTCCAAGCAGCGCCCGTGTCCAACACCCAATAGTCCAGGGGGTGCAGCTCTGCTCCAACCTTGGCAGATGCGTCTCCTTGCTCCCCCTTGTCTCCCACATGGAAGAACTGGCCTGCGGTGCGCTCCTTCTTCTTCTCCGCACCACCGTTGCTCTTCGGGGTGTTGTCGGACGAATCAGCGACCATGTTCGCGCCGTTTTTCTGGTTCCTTCGCGCGCCACCATCCTGTTGACGATTCTGGGGGGTCCATCCATCGGGTTTCTTATAGCACAAAAACCAGGGGTGCCCCTCCTTCTCACAATACCAGCAACTCCCTTTCATTTTGCCACCAGCACCCGATTTGCCCCCACGTCCAGATTTCGAACCGCGACCCCAACCGGTACCTCCTTGTTGGTCGTTGGAGTCGTCGTCCTTCTTTGCACCGCGTCCAGCACCACTGAAGCCACGTCCTCTGCCACGTCGGTTCCCTTGCATCCCGTAGCCGCTGCTGCCGTCGTCCCCACCCCTCAGTTGGCGGCGACGGAAGTCCTCCTCCAGAATCTTCGTCCGCACCCACTCGAGAGTCCACGAGCTCTGGTTCTGCGGCAGGCTCAATCCGCTCGTGAATTGAAGCCACGATTCCGGCAGCAGCGAGAGCATTTTCAGGCACTTAGACTGCTCCGGGTAGGTGATTCCCGCGGTCGCCAACTTCGCGTAGAGGTCGCGCATCTTGTCCAGGACAGGTTGCACCGGCTCTCCCTCGCTCAGGCGCAACGCGGACAGCTCCCTCTCCAGCATCAACGTTGCGACAACGGAGGTCGGGGCGTGCAGCTCCTTCAACACGGTCCACGCCTTCGGACCGCATTCAACCTCCGGCAGCAGGTGCATGACGTGGTGACGCTGGTTCAGCTCCAAACTCTGCGACATCAAATAGTAGCCAGCCGAGGAGCGCTCGTCCCAATCTTCCTGCAGCGTGGGGTCACTCGGTCTAGGCTCCTCCCCAATCATTAGTTTCAGCAATCCAATCTGACGGAAGTAAAGCTGCATTTTCCAGGCCCAATCATCATAGCCCTCACCATTGAACTTCTCGACGGTGAAATTCTTCAGCACCTCCTTGATCAGCGAGCTCTGGTTGGTTCGCGCTCCCCTTGGCGCCGAAACACCAGAATCTTGGCTGCCACTACGATCTTGGGCTGAAGATTCACCAGCTCCCGCCGAGGTGTTGCCCGCCATAGCTACCTATAACGAGGATCACTATAACGCAGCTCTGATACCAGCTTGTTGGTGTAAGGGCCTAATAAACTCAAGCTATTAGGACTTAATCAAACTTAAAACCTCTCCTCGGGGTCACCTCCAAGGGTCCCTGGGTGCCTGGTACAAGACCAGCTCCTATCCTCGGGTCCGAGTTTGTAGAGAGAGGGATCAAGAAGGACTTAGTCAAAACAGCAAGAGTACCTTGAACGTCGCGCAGCGTGCCGTGCAGACCGTCAATCGGATTAAGCTGAGAATTTGCTATATCGAAGCTCGCTCCAAGAGCTTTAAAATAAGCCAAGTTGCCTCGCGAAAAGTTCTGCCATTACGAAGTTCTGGCTCGGACAGCGTTTTCCTAGCGTTGGAGTGCTAGCATACTAGCGTTGACTCGGGTAGCATTCCGCCATCGAATAGCGCAGAAATGAAACTCCAGCGAGGAAGGAATTCGCTTGAATCAATTTGACTATATCCAGGTACAAACAGAGAAGGACTAAATAGTTCTAGCTAGCAAGGACCTTGGGAATCAACCTGGGAACAACCAGGGATGATCCCAAATAATTCCAAGCAATAGAACCAACCTGGCTGGACAAAATAGCAGGTGGTAGGTTGGTAAACAACCTCTGGTTCTGTTTTTCCAACCTGGGAAAACAACAACCAGGTTCAGGTTCTAAAAACAGAACCTGTTTTTGTCTTTGCCCAACCAGCCAAATGCTGGTTCTGCTGGTTTCCCCTGGCCTTGTAGCATGCAGATACAGACAAACAACATCCAACCTTCACCTAAATTGTACCCCTATAGTGCCTTCCCTGCTACACTATAGTTAACCAAACAAAGCAGTACAATTTCGAGTTGGATAGAACTGAATCTGCGCAATCAACTCAACCGAACTGCAAAGCTTCCATCTTGGGTTCCTTTGCGAGCTCGTCCTTTCTGCTTGCACTGTTCATAGCGCGTACAATGTTGTGCCGAAGCGCACATTGCGCGAGTACCTGCAAATGCATCAAGCGAAAATTGCGAAAACAAACAAACACACGAACATTCCATTCACACCCAAATGCATTCGCATACGCATACTCGTACAAACAGACGGCAGGATGTCGTGCAATGTAAATTTGCACCCAACAGTGTGCCATGCCACGCCGTGCCATGTGGGGGTGGAGGAGGTGTGGGAGGAGGGACGGAAAGAGCAAGGAAAACGTGGGACGCAAGGTAAGGGAGCACGAAATTGAGCAACACAGAGGTGGAAGGAAGGCAGGACAGAGAGAGAAGGACAAGAACACTGAGGACAGCAATAGCTAGAGGCACACACACAAAGGGAAGGCGAATTGATAAGTGATGAAGGAAGGCAGAGGCGTGGGTGGGACAAAGGATCAAGTGAGCGAGCGCAAGGCAGAGAGAGGAGGTGAATGAGGCGAGGGGTTTACTTCTGGTGGATGTGCGCTTACTTCTGGTGGATGTGCTCTCACTTCTGGTGGATGTGCTCTCACTTCTGGTGGATGTGCTCTCACTTCTGGTGGATGTGCTCTCAATTCTGGTGGATGTGCTCTCCCTTCTGGTGGATGTGCTCTCACTTCTGGTGGATGTGCTCTCACTTCTGGTGGATGTGCTCTCACTTCTGGTGGATGTGCTCTCACTTCTGGTGGATGTGCTCTCACTTCTGGTGGATGTGCTCTCACCTCTGGTGGATGTGCTCTCACCTCTGGTGGATGTGCTCTCACCTCTGGTAGATGTGCTCTCACTGCTCGTGGATCTGCTCTCACTTCTGGTGGATGTGCTCTCACTGCTGGAGGATGTGCTCTCACTTCTGGTAGATGTCCTCTCACTTCTGGTGGATGTGCTCTCACTTCTGGTGGATGTGCTCTCACTTCTGGTGGATGTGCTCTCACTTCTGGTGGATGTGCTCTCACTTCTGGTGGATGTGCTCTCACTTCTGGTGGATGTGCTCTCACTTCTGGTGGATGTGCTCTCACTTCTGGTGGATGTGCTCTCACTTCTGGTGGATGTGCTCTCACTTCTGGTGGATGTGCTCTCACTTCTGGTGGATGTGCTCTCACTTCTGGTGGATGTGCTCTCACTTCTGGTGGATGTGCTCTCACTGCTGCTGGATGAGCTCTCACTTCTGGTGGATGTGCTCTCACTTCTGGTGGATGTGCTCTCACTTCTGGTGGATGTGCTCTCACTTCTGGTGGATGTGCTCTCACTTCTGGTGGATGTGCTCTCACTTCTGGTGGATGTGCTCTCACTTCTGGTGGATGTGCTCTCACTTCAGGTGGATGTGCTCTCACTACTGGTGGATGTGCTCTCACTGCAGGTCGATGTGCTCTCACTTCTGGTGGATGTGCTCTCACTTCTGGTGGATGTGCTCTCACTTCTGGTGGATGTGCTCTCACTTCTGGTGGATGTGCTCTCACTTCTGGTGGATGTGCTCTCACTTCTGGTGGATGTGCTCTCACTGCTGCTGGATGAGCTCTCACTTCTGGTGGATGTGCTCTCACTTCTGGTGGATGTGCTCTCACTTCTGGTGGATGTGCTCTCACTTCTGGTGGATGTGCTCTCACTTCTGGTGGATGTGCTCTCACTTCTGGTGGATGTGCTCTCACTTCTGGTGGATGTGCTCTCACTTCAGGTGGATGTGCTCTCACTCTGGTCGATGTGCTCTCACTTCTGGTGGATGTGCTCTCACTTCTGGTGGATGTGCTCTCACTTCTGGTGGATGTGCTCTCACTGCTGTGGATGTGCTCTCACTTCTGGTGGATGTGCTCTCACTTCTGGTGGATGTGCTCTCACTTCTGGTGGATGTGCTCTCACTTCTGGTGGATGTGCTCTCACTTCTGGTGGATGTGCTCTCACTTCTGGTGGATGTGCTCTCACTTCTGGTGGATGTGCTCTCACTTCTGGTGGATGTGCTCTCACTTCTGGTGGATGTGCTCTCACTTCTGGTGGATGTGCTCTCACTTCTGGTGGATGTGCTGCCACTTCTGGTGGATGTGCTCTCACCTCTGGTGGATGTGCTCTCACCTCTGTGGATGTGCTCTCACCTCTGGTAGATGTGCTCTTACTGCTCGTGGATGTGCTCTCACTGCTGGAGGATGTGCTCTCACTTCTGGCAGATGTCCTCTCACTTCTGGTGGATGTGCTCTCACTTCTGGTGGATGTGCTCTCACTTCTGGTGGATGTGCTCTCACTTCTGGTGGATGTGCTCTCACTTCTGGTGGATGTGCTCTCACTTCTGGTGGACGAGCTGTCACTGCTGGTGGATGTGCTCTCACTTCTGGTGGATGTGCTCTTACTTATGGTCGATATGCTTTCAGTTCTGGTGGATGTGCTCTCACTTCTGGTGGATGTGCTCTCACTTCTGGTGGATGTGCTCTCACTTCTGGTGGATGTGCTCTCACTGCTGGTGGATGTGCTCTCACTGGTGGTGGATGTGCTCTCACTTCTGGTGGATGTGCTCTCACTTCTGGTGGATGTGCTCTCATTTATGGTGGATGTGCTCTCACTTCTGGTGGATGTGCTCTCACTTCTGGTGGATGTGCTCTCACTTCTGGTGGATGTGCTCTCACTTCTGGTGGATGTGCTCTCACTTCTGGTGGATGTGCTCTCACTACTGGTGGATGTGCTCTCACTGCAGGTGGATGTGCTCTCACTGCTGGTAGATGTGCTCTCACTTCTGGTGGATGTGCTCTCACTTCTGGTGGATGTGCTCTCACTTCTGGTGGATGTGCTCTCACTTCTGGTGGATGTGCTCTCACTTCTGGTGGATGTGCTCTCACTTCTGGTGGATGTGCTCTCACTTCTGGTGGATGTGCTCTCACTTCTGGTGGATGTGCTCTCACTTCTGGTGGATGTGCTCTCACTTCTGGTGGATGTGCTCTCACTTCTGGTGGATGTGCTCTCACTTCTGGTGGATGTGCTCTCACTTCTGGTGGATGTGCGCTCAACTCTGGTGGATGTGCTCTCACTTCTGGTGGATGTGCTCTCACTTCTGGTGGATGTGCTCTCACTTCTGGTGGATGTGCTCTCACTTCTGGTGGATGTGCTCTCAACTCTGGTGGATGTGCTCTCACGTATGGTGGATGTGCTCTCACTTCTGCTGAATGTGCTCTCAACTCTGGTGGATGTGCTCTCACTTCTGGTGGATGTGCTCTCAACGCTGGTGGATGTGCTCTCACTTCTGGTGGATGTGCTCTCACTTCTGGTGGATGTGCTCTCAACTCTGGTGGATGTGCTCTCACGTATGGTGGACGTGCTCTCACTGCTGCTGAATGTGCTCTCACTTCTGGTGGATGTGCTCTCACTTCTGGTAGATGTGCTCTCAACGCTGGTGGATGTGCTCTCACTTCTGGTGGATGTGCTCTCACTGCTGGTGGATGTGCTCTCACTGCTGGTGGATGTGCTCTCACTGCTGGTGGATGTCCTCTCATTGCTGGTGGATGTGCTCTCACTTCTGGTGGATGTGCTCTCACTTCTGGTGGATGTGCTCTCACTTCTGGTGGATGTGCTCTCACTTCTGGTGGATGTGCTCTCACTTCTGGTGGATGTGCTGTCACCTCTGGTGGATGTGCTCTCTCCTCTGGTGGATGTGCTCTCATTGCTGGTGGATGTGCTCTCACTTCTGGTGGATGTGCTCTCACTTCTGGTGGATGTGCTCTCACTGCTGGTGGATGTGCTCTCACTGCTGGTGGATGTGCTCTCAGTGCTGGTGGATGTGCTCTCACTTCTGGTGGATGTGCTCTCACTTCTGGTGGATGTGCTCTCACTTCTGGTGGATGTGCTCTCACTTCTGGTGGATGTGCTCTCACTTCTGGTGGATGTGCTCTCAACTCTGGTGGATGTGCTCTCACGTGTGGTGGACGTGCTCTCACTGCTGGTGAATGTGCTCTCACTTCTGGTGGATGTGCTCTCACTTCTGGTGGATGTGCTCTCACTTCTGGTGGATGTGCTCTCAACGCTGGTGGATGTGCTCTCACTTCTGGTGGATGTGCTCTCACTTCTGGTGGATGTGCTCTCACTTCTGGTGGATGTGCTCTCACTTCTGGTGGATGTGCTCTCACTTCTGGTGGATGTGCTCTCACTTCTGGTGGATGTGCTCTCACTTCTGGTGGATGTGCTCTCACTTCTGGTGGATGTGCTCTCACTGCTGGTGGATGTGCTCTCACTGCTGGTGGATGTGCTCTAATTGCTGGTAGATGTGCTCTCACTTCTGGTGGATGTGCTCTCACTGGTGGTGGATGAGCTCTCACTGCTGGTGGATGTGCTCTCACTGCTGGTGGATGTGCTCTCACTGCTGGTGGATGTGCTCTCACCTCTGGTTGATGTGCTCTCACTTCTGGTGGATGTGCTCTCACTTCTGGTGGATGTGCTCTCACTTCTGGTGGATGTGCTCTCACTTCTGGTGGATGTGCTCTCACTTCTTGTGGATGTGCTCTTACTTATGGTGGATGTTCTCCAGCGCTTGGTTGGCGAGCTGCGACTGGTGGTTGTCGATCTCCTCCAGCAGGTCGTTGATTCGCACTATCACCACGTGCTTTAACCTCCGCTCTGCTGTGCACGCATGTAGGCACGCACCCATGCAAGCAGGCACCCATGCACCCATGCACATACGCATCCATGCACACATGCACCAACACGCAGATGCAGGCCACCATGCATTGAGTGAGACGTTAGCAAGCACAGGTGACACGCATGCACGGCAGGTGAGAGCTTTTCCTTCATGGCTACCCTTGACGGCACACACCGAAGCAGACAGCTTCATTACCCTCACCGCGTGCTAACCTCTCAACCCAATCGGACCTCGCATTCCACCACCACATGCCTGCACAACACATCACTGCCTGCTCTGTAACCGCTCCCACCTGCTCTCTCATCTGCACTCCATCCCTCGTGCCTGCCCTCTCTTCCACACAAATTAATACCATCTCGCCACTCTCTTCCAACCCACCCCTTCCTCTCCTCTCCGCACCTCCCCAACGCACCAGCAGCAGCGGCGGTGGCGGCAGCAGCGGGCGAGGGGGCAGAGGCGCCGTCGGAGGAGTGGGCGGAAGGGGGAGGGGCGCAGAGGAGGAGGGGGGAGTGGCGGGCAGCAGCGCGGGGTCGAGCAGGTTGTGCAGCGAGGGCGCCAGCAGCACACTGCGGTAGCTGTTTGGTGTAAGGGCCTAATAAACTCAAGCTATTATGACTTAATCAAACTTAAAACCTCTCCTCGGGGTCACCTCCAAGGGTCCCTGGGTGCCTGGTACAAGACCAGCCCCTATCCTCGGGTCCGAGTTTGTAGAGAGAGGGATCAAGAAGGACTTAGTCAAAACAGCAAGAGTACCTTGAACGTCGCGCAGCGTGCCGTGCAGACCGTCGGTCGGATTAAGCTGAGAATTCGCTATATCGAAGCTCGCTCCAAGAGCTTTAAAATGAGCCAAGTTGCCTCACGAAAAGTTCTGCCATTACTAAGTTATGGCTCGGACAGCGTTTGCCTAGCGTTGGAGTGCTAGCATACTAGCGTTGACTCGGGTAGCATTCCGCCGTCGAATAGCGCAGAAACGAAATTCCAGTGAGGAAGGAATTCGCTTGAATCAATTTGACTATATTCAGGTACAAACAGAGAAGGATTAAATAGTTCTAGCTAGTAAGGACCTTGGGAATCAACCTGGGAACAACCAGGGATGATCCCAAATAATTCCAAGCAACAGAACCAACCTGGCTGGACAAAATAGCAGGTGGTAGGTTGGTAAACAACCTCTGGTTCTGTTTTTCCAACCTGGGAAAGCAACAACCAGGTTCAGGTTCTAAAAACAGAACCTGTTTTGTCTTTGCCCAACCAGCCAAATGCTGGTTCCGCTGGTTTCCCCTGGCCTTGTAGCATGCAGATACAGACAAACAACATCCAACCTTCACCTAAATTGTACCCCTATAGTGCCTTCCCTGCTACACTATAGTTAACCAAACAAAACAGTACAATTCCGAGTTGGATAGAACTGAATCTGCGCAATCAACTCAACCGAACTGCAAAGCTTCCATCTTGGGTTCCTTTGCGAGCTCGTCCTTCCTGCTTGCACTGTTCATAGCGCATACAATGTTGTGCCAAAGCGCACATTGCGCGAGTACCTGCAAATGCATCAAGCGAAAAATGCGAAAGCAAACAAACACACGAACACACCATTCACACGCAAATGCATTCGCACACGCATACTCGTACAAACAGACGGCAGGATGTCGTGCAATGTGCATTTGCACCCAACACACTCCCCCTCAGCCTGCCGGCTGCATCCCCGTCATTCCATGCTAGTTCATGCTCATTCCACTCATGCGCACACAACGCCAATGAGGCTCATCCGCAAGCCTCTTGGTGAGAAAGTCTGCTGGCTGCTGGTGAGTCTTGATGTAGATCGGATGCACCGTCCCCCTCTTCACCTCCTTACGCAGCCAGTGCCACTTGATACGCATGTGCTTGTTCAGCCCATGAAGCACAGCGTTTCTGGCCATCCCAAGAGCCCCCTTGCTATCACAAAACAGCGGCGTAGCAACTTTCTGCTCCTGGCCAATCTCCTCTAACAGCCTCCTCAGCCAAATCACCTCCTTCACCCCATGGAACATCGCCATGTACTCTGATTCTACGGAAGAGAGTGCCGTCTCCGTCTGCTTCTTGGACCTCCAACTAACAGGTCCTCCCCCAACTACGCAGATGTATCCTCCCACAGATGAGGAATCCTCCTTCTCATAAGCCCACGTAGCATCGGTAAAGCAAGTGAGAAATAGCTTGCCTTCTCCAAGCCTCTCCCCCTTCTCTTTCAGCACCTCCACCCCTTTCTGCTTCACCTGTGCAGATGCGGAGTATTGAACTCCAATGCTTGGGTGAGAGTTCAGGTACTTCACCACACGCTCAGCTGCATCCACCTGCTCCTCTGATGGATTCTGCACCACCCTAGCCAGCTGCCCAACCGAGAAAGAGATGTCGGGCCTCGTGTGAACTGCTGCGTACAAGAGGCTGCCCACCAAGGACTGAAATTGCTGCTGCTCTTCAGCTTCAACCCCTTCATCCTCTGCAGCCTTCACAAGCTTGAATTCTGCTGGCAGGGGAGTTGCAACCTTGCGCTCATTCTCAATCCCATACTTCTCCCCCAGCTCCTTGATGAACTTCTCCTGGTGCAGCTTCAACCACCTGTGATCTGGATCCCTCTCCACGTGCATCCCGAGGTAGTACTTTACCTCTCCAAGGTTCTTGCACTTGAAGTTTTCCATCAGTTGCTGCTGCACTTTCTGGATCTCCTTCATGCTGCTGCTGAAGAGAAGAATGTCGTCCACATAGACCAGAAACAGCACCAGCTTCTTCCCCTCGCCCTTGAGAAAGAGGCTCTCATCACAGCTGCTGGTCCTGAATCCCATCTCCTCTAAAACAGCTGCCAACTTCTGGTACCAGCAGCGTGGCGCCTGCTTCAAGCCGTAGATGGACTTGTTGAGCTTGCACACCCTGCCCGTACCATCCTCATACCCAGGCGGCTGCGTCATGTACACATCCTCCTCTAAAATCCCATTCAGGAATGCCGTTGAAATATCCATCTGAATGATGAATTTCCCACTAACAGCTGCATCTGCCAACAAGACACGGAGGGTAGGGGGTTTGGCAGTGGGAGCAAAGATCTCGTTGAAGTCCTGCTTCTCCTTCTGCATAAACCCCTTCGCCACCAGCCTACTCTTGTAGATGGTGACCTGCCCCTTGTCATCGGTCTTGATCCTCAGCACCCACTTGCATTGTATCGCTTTCTTCCCATCAGGCAGCACCACCAGATCCCATGTCCTATTCTCCAGCAGACTCTGGTACTCAGCATCCCTAGAAGCCAGCCACTTGTCCCTATCTGGTCCAGCTAATGCCTCCTCCATGCTAGCTGGTTCCTCTGGTGCAGGGGCAAGAAAACAGTACGCAGGCTCATCCTCCTCATCCGGGTCATAGCCATGAGGTAGAATCAGCAATGCCTCTTCGGTCCCTAGCTGCTGCTCTGCTGCATCAGTTCCTGCAGTCAGCTTCTTAGTAGCCATACGGGTACGTCCTGGCCTGGAGACGGGTGTCTCCCATCCCTTCATAACGACACCCTTCGGCTTCTTAGTTTTTCCCTGCTGCTTCTCTCCTCCCTCGGGTCCAGCAGCTCCACTAGTGCTGCCGCCAGTTTCCACACCATTTTCTCCACCAGCAGATGCCTCCTGTACCTTCTCTCCATCACCATTTCCAGCAGCTGCCTCCTCTCCCTCCTCCCACACACTAGGAGTCAGGTCCAGCTGCATGGTGATCTGCTCCATCTGCTGGGACACCCTTGCCTCCGGCTGTTTCTCCCAGCTCCCATACATCATGCCCTCAATGAATTTCACATCCCTGCTGTCAAACAACACACTCTTGGATGGTTCCCACAGCAGCCATCCCTTGCTCTCAGCAGCCAGCCCCAAATGCACACACCAGATTGCACTCGCCCCCAACTTACTGCGGTAGGTCTTGGGGACGTGGGCGACTGCCATGCAACCGAACACCCTCAGCATGTCCACCGGCGGCTTCCTCCCAAGCCACCTCTCCAAAGGCACCCACGAGTCATCCCCAACCTTGGTGAGCACCCTGTTCCTAGCGACGGTGGCGTGCCGGACAGCATGAGGCCACATAGAGTTGCTCAGCCCAGATTCTATGAGCAGCGCCCTAGCTGTCTCCAGAATGGTCCGGTTTGCCCGTTCTGCTACACCATTGGACTGTGGGGTATAAGCCGTTGTCAGCTCTCTCTGGATGCCCTGCTTCTTGAGCCAGGCCGTCATTTCAGCTCCAAGGAACTCACCACCCCGGTCTGTCCTAATCCGCTTCACTACACACTCCGCCTGCTTCTCCACGAATGGCAGCCAATCGTCCCGTATCGTGGAGGCGGCGTGGTCCTTCTGCTTCAGCGGATACGCCCACATCAGCCTGCTCCAGTCATCCACAATTGTAAGAAAATACCGCTCCCCCTTGTGCCCTTGCACCGGCAGCGGCCCCACCAAGTCCATGTGGACCAGCTCCAAAGGCTTCTTGCTCCTGCCAGCCACACTATGGAAAGGGAAACGGGTGAACTTTGAAAGCAAACAGATTTCACAGTTGTCATCGGGTGGCTGTCCGTTCAGCTTCAGACCCTTAACGGCTCCATCCTTCTCCAGCTGCTTCAGCAAAGGCATTGCCAC